CGCACGCACGCACGCAGGCAGCACGCACACACGCACGCACACACGCACGCACGCACGCACGCACGCACGCACGCACACACGCACGCACGCACGCACGTACGCACCCACACGCACGCCCCCCCCCCCCACACACACACGCGCGCACACACATCCGCACACACACACACACCCGCACACACACGCAAACACACACAGACACAGACACAGACACAGACAAACACACATACACACAAAAACACACACAGACACAAACACACACACACAAACACACACACAGACACAAACACACACACACAGACACACAGACACACAGCCACACAGACACACCGACACACCGACACACAGACACACAGACACACAGACACACAGACACACACACACACGCTAACACACACGCTAACACACACGCACACACACACACACACGCACACACACACGCGCACACGCACACACACACACACACGCACACACACACCTACACACAACCACAACCACACACACACACACCCGGACGCGTCCGTGCACACACACACCCACACCCACACGCACCCGTTCACGTACACGCACACGCACGCGCACGAACGCACGCACGCACGCACGCACACACGCACACACGCACACATAAACACACACACTCACACACTCACACGCGCGCACACACACCCATGCACACACACACACACTCACGCACGCACGCACGCACGCACGCAAACACACACACACACACCCACACCCACACATACCCACACACACACACGCAAACACACACAGACACAAACACAGACACAGACACAGACACAGACACAAACACACACACACTCAATACCTGCGTGTTGTCGGGAGGGAGGGGTCCCCGCTCGAACTGGAGCGTTCTCAGGGTCCAACGACCTGCACTCATACTTATAGCCAGCCCTCCTCCCAGCGACACCCTTACAGTTCGGGAGCGGCCGCAAGAAACCGTCGCAAGAAACCCAACCCTGGAAACACGCGCGCGATGTCCACCTGAGGGGTAGCCTGGAGCACCATGAACGCATCAGCTTCTTCAACGGCCGCGGGAAGTCGCCGCGCAGCGCGCGGAGCCAAGAAACTCGGGGTACCCTGACGAACAGAAGATGGTTTCTTGATGCGCGCCCCCACTGTATGGGTATGGATATGTGTATGTGTGTGTGTATGTGTCTGTGTGTATGTGTGTGTATGTGTGTATGTGTATGTGTGTGTGTGTGAATGTGTCAATGTTGTTCGTTCGTCCCTGCGGGCGGGCCACCCGGGCCTTGGCCTCTCAGGCGCCAGACGAGCGCGGGAGCCTTGAGGGGCAACCACAAGGGGGGACTGGCATACGGGGGATGCATCGACCTGGAATCGAAAATACATCGCCGATAGATCGGCGATAGGCCTCCGATAGTGAATCCGAACCTTCCTGGGCAGGTTGGGGCTATCGGGCCCCTGTCGTCGAACAATGGGCGATTGGGGGTCGATGCATCCACCCCTATTCCTATCCCCCCCCTATCGTTGCCCCTGAAGCCTGCTACCCCTCGCCGACATCGACCTCCCGGCGCAGCCAGGGCGGGCCCCGCCAGGCGCCTCCCCTCGCGGGCGCGTGGGCGGGGCCGTCTGACTCAGGCCGAAGGGGCTCGCCGTCGAAGTCGCCGAGGCTGGCTGGGCCTGCCGTCGCCGAGAGGGGGGCCGCTCGTCCTCGCGGTCGGTCGCGCTGGTCCGCTGGAGCCTGGTGCCCGCCTCGCCAGGACTCGGGGACCGCTCGGAGAGGTCGGAGGTCGACTCCGTGTCGCTCGTCTGGCCGCTCGTTGCCTTGCTGGCGGCGGGCTCCATCTTGGGCAGCTCGGGCGCCGTGAACGCCTCGGCCACGCGCCGGCCCGACGTGCCGTTGCCGGGGCGGGGCCCGGAGATCCCCAGGACGAGCCTCTGCAGCTCGGGGAGGTCGTCGAGAGTCCACGGAGCCAGGGGCTCAGGAAGCTTGAGCCCCGCGGGCCTGCGGACCCCGAGGGGGCCGAGGGCGTCCAAGCGCGGCAGGGCGTCCCCACGGCCGGCGGACGGCCTGCCCAGAGCGGCGCGCTGGAGCGCCCTTGCCGCCGCGCAGGGGTCCCCGCGAGGGATCGAAGGCTGCCTCGGCCTCGGCGCGGCCGTCGGGCTGGTCACCTCCACCCACGCCAGCGCCGGCCTTGGTCTCCTGAGCTGCTCGCCGATGGCCGGGAGCCTGAGGCGCGCGGGGCTCGCCATCTTTTGGAGCTCTCGGGGGGCGGGGGTCTTCTTATGCAGCGCAGGGTGCTTTGCCCCCTCAAGCTCGAGCCAAAACGTCTGCAATGCAAAGGAGGGGCATCGGTAGTCACGTGGCAGGGCGCGGGCTGGGGCCTCACTCCACAATCCTCCTGTCACAACCCGAAGATCGCAATGGCAAGGACGGCACTGGAGCTGCACTGGGAGCCAGGGGCGGACAAGGTACTCCCATATCATTTCCGGTGCCCTAGGGACCCCCCACGAAAAAAAACTTTCGGGCTGCGAACGCATGACGTTCTGGGGCCCCTGCTGAACCAAAGAAACCCCCAGAAAACAGCCCTCGGGCCGAGAAGATGAATTGTTTGGAACAACGCCGACCCAAAACCGTCTCTATAAATAATACTCTCCAGATCCTCATGACTTCCCCACGGAACCCCACTCACAAGCAAGTCGATTAATCTCGCCTCCCACAGCACGCCTCCGTGTCGCATGCTGTCGCTGCTAAGAATAGCGGGCGTGGTTGTGAGCTGCGGGGCACTATCTCCAAATTGACCAACAATAGTGTATCAACCTCGCGTTTTTTTGTATACGGCTTAATGCTCCAACACTTCTTGGCATCTGGCCCTCAAGTGCGCAAGAATTCGAGGGCATCGCGCCATCTGTGCAACGACCGAACCTCTAATGCCAATAAGTGTATGCAACGGCTGAAGGCCCGAGGGTATTCTGTTTTGAAAACCGGTATCTTCCTTGAGTGGCCAGCATTTCCTGTAGAAATCTCCGATACTGAAAAGGTCCTCGAATAAGTTCTGGCGCCAACTCAGCCGTGGCTCCGCGGTATTGGGCTCCCTTGGAGATGCTAGGTTTTGCGCTGAAATCGGAAGGCCTTGAAGCCCAGCGGGGGATCCCAAGGACCTGCGTCTGAGCGTGGTTCAGTGTGATCCCTCGTTTGCTATGAATCAATGTCGAAGTGTACTGATTTGCGCAACATGCGTCACTTCGCATGTCGGACCTCCTGTGAAGCTTGCTCAGCCCTGCCCTCCTCGTGCCTGCCAGATGGGATCAACACATAACCTGAGCAGGGTCAGAAAAAAGCATCCTCGCCACACATGGGTGAATGCTCCTGCAAAACGAATGCGCGATGTGGGCCCTGGCCGCAAACCGATCATCCCGCCAGGCCACTGCCGCTGGAAGCTATCCTCCGATAACTCTGCTTTTTCAGTGCAGACCACCCAGCTACCGCTGCAGAGTTTTGAACTGAGAAACAAGCCTCGCCTGGATCTGCTGGTGGGTACGGGAACGTCTTCACGAGCACCATGGTTAACTCCTCTAGCACTAGGTCGGACATGTCCTCCTACAGGCGGAGTCTGGGTGAGAAATAAGCACATAGAAAACATAGTCCCAGACTATTGTTGGACTAGGTTTGACTTTGCCTCCTGTAAATGACATGGACTTAACTCTGACGCCCTTCGTGGTGGGCCGTGTTCTGCGGCGCCTCCCCGCTTCGCGAGGCTATGTGTCGGATCCTCTCCCTTGCTGCCCGTGCGAACGCCGTGGGAGAGGCACGAGACTTCAGAAACTCCTCCTCCGAGTCCTTCTCGCTCCTTGCCCCGCGCCCCTCTCCCTCGCTGCTGCTCTAGAAGGAAAACCACGCGGCATTCACTTAAACTGTTGGAGGTCCGCGCGGATTTCTTGGATCTGGGGCGGCGCTGGAGGCGCTGCCAAGGGGCCCCGGCGCGGATCCAAGTAATCCGCGCGGACCGTCGCAAATTTATGTTTGTGCCGTTGGTTGCTCTTCTCGATGCTCCCTGCCCCTGCCTCTTCTGGTGCCCTGCTCCGGCCCCCCGCTATTCGGTGCATGTGCGCCTCTGGCCAACAGCAGGGCAGAGCGACCGGAGTTCACGTCCACGAAGCCCGGCGGCAAGCAGGCCTCCTCCTCCTCCTCCTCCTCCTCCTCGAAGCTCGACTCTGCTGACTGCTCGGGCTCGTAGGAGCCTGGAGCCCTCGTCCTCCTCCTCCTTCTCCACCTTCTCCTCCTCCTTCACCATCTCCACCATCTCCACCTCCTCCTCCTCCTCCTCCTGGTCTCCGCTTCGCGTCCTTCAAGGTGGTGCCGCAACCCCCTGCAAAACCAGGCGCGTCGTCACTGCGTCCAGATGCCCGCGGCGCTCGCACCCTGTCGGTCCCGGAATCGCGGTGCGGATCGGGGCACCGCCACTGCACTGACACGGCCCGCGCTTCCTTCTTGTATCGACATCAGCGTGGTGGCGGACCGCGTCGGGCTTCATCCACTCCGAAACTTCTGCGCATGCGCCAATCGCCATTGTCTGAGTGACAAGATGGCATCGCCTGCCGCGTCTCCCTTCTCCGTGTCCTGAGCCCAAAGATGGCAAGGTTCCGCCCGACTGGACACAGGAGAGGAGCTGGCTACATATTCACAGAGCCGTGGATGTCACTCTGGGCTTCCAGGCGGTCAGCATGCGCCTGGCCACAATCTCCTTGACCGCCTCCGCATTCAAAGAAACCTTGACAAGCTGCCGATGACCAGGAGTTCCAAGAGGACGAGGGTGAAGGTGAGAAGGAGTCGGTGAAGACGATCAGAAGGAAACTGATAGCAGAGAGGCGGGGAGAAGAAACACGATGGCGATGATGAAGGGGGAGTGCGAAGAAGAAGGTGATGATGATGCTGAACTTCTCTCCTCAACCTTCTCCTTCTCCTCCGCCGCCGAGGGCAAAGCTGCCATCTGGCCGCTGCACAGCAACAGCCCAGCCTGCTGGCGTCGGCCGTCCGCAATGCTGCGGCGGGCGTCCTCAGGTTCGCGAAGTTCGTGCCGGCGCGGCCAAGCTCCCTGTGCACCGCGACGACCTCCTGGAATCTACCCTTCCATCACTCTTGCCCTATGGGTACCTCCTCCTCCTCCTCGCTTGACCACAGGACGTGTTGGTGGGACAGGCCAGGCGTTTCGCGTGAGACTTCCTGTCTGCGTTGATGACCCCAGAGCATGACGCTTCCAATAGTTACACGCGTGGAGGGGGTGTGTCTCCAACATGAGTTGCTCGCGCTGGCGCTATGTACATCCGACTTGAAAGTTTCAAACAACTCTACGGATGTAGGGGGTGGTTTTCAACATGTGGCTCTCCCCTTGAAATCTTCCACATCCGCCGACCCAGTCGGCGTGTGTGAGACGCTGTCGTCGTCTTTGTCGTCGTCGCCAGTCCCAAGGGAATCTAGAAAGGAACGTAATAAAGAGACGTCGTAGGTGGTTACAGGTCGTAGGTGGTTAGACGTCGTAGGTGGTTAGAGGTCGTAGGTGGTTAGGGGTCGTAGGAACATAAAACAAAAAACGTCGTAGGTGGTTAACGCGGTTCCCTCCCCCTTTTCCCCTTCCTCACGGGCGGGGGGTTTGGGTGGGGGCCCGGGTCAGACTACCGCCCCCCCGTGGGGGCCTGGCGGCCGGAAGACTTTCTTGCTTCGCCCGCTTTGTGTCATCCGCTTCTGTCTCGCACGCTTCCGTGCCATTTGTTTCTGTGTCGCCCGCGTTTGTTTCGCCCGATGTTGTTTTTTGCCCGCCCTGCGTTTCATTCGCTTGTGTTTTCGCCCGCCTTTTGTTTTATCAGCTTGAAACCTGAGAAGTTCAAGCCCGGTAAAATAGAACCGGATGAACTTAAACGGGCGAATTCAACCCAGACGAATTTAAATCGGTGCGCGTGACCAACGTGAAACGCACCTACGCTGCCGAATCATTGATGTGGTTGGCTTTGGTACAATGCCTACCGCGATACAGCAGGTGTGGCACATGGGCACCACAAGGGGGATCGATCCGCCGGAGGTCATGACTTTGCGAGATTCGGGCCAACTGTGGTGGCGGTGTTTCAAGCGGTTTCGTTATGCTGCCTTCCTAGACTTTTCTCCTTTGGCATCTCTCCAGAAGGAGGGCGACAACGAGCAGGGAGGAGGAGGGAGGAAGAGAAGGCGTACGAGAAGGAGATCCGTAACCATTTTGGCTCAAACCATTTTGGCTCAAGGCCATTTGGCGCAAGGCAACTGGCCAAGACAACCTTCCAATGATCCTCGGACCACCAGGTTGCATCGATCAGCCGTGCTTGAAAACATTTGGGCCTCGCTCCCACATCTATGGGTAGCCGCAATGTGTCCAAAAGAAAAGGCAAAAGCAAAGGCCAGAATCTCACCAGTTCGTGCATTTGTTCCAGCTATCAGCATACTCTTCCATGGTACACTGTATGTTATGTATGTGACATGCCCCAATCAGCAGCCTACTGCACCCCCGTCCACCTGCCCTTCGTCCCCCCGCCCCCACCCCCGCCGCAGGGAGGGAAGGGAAAGGAAGGATCGGGAACGCCAACTCCCAGCAGAGCTCGAAGTTCGGCAAGGGTGGAGGTGCATGGTATGGCGTGTGATGAGGACCGGCAGGAGTACCAGCAGGAGGAACGGGTCGCGGCCGAGGACAAGGTGGAGGAAACAGCAGAGGAGGAGTTGCAGCAAAAAGCGAAGGCAGTCGAAAGGGTCCAGGACCAGGAAAGATACCCACAATTACCCTCCATGAACTCCACCAGGTTCATCAAACAACTAAGCTGAACGAAGCGACATTCCAGAAGAGCTTGTCTCGCAGGGGGGAGAGTTATAGCGAGCAACCCAAGCGCAGAAATGGGAGCACGCCTCTCCCATGAAGTACCTCCAGCAGCAGGAGCAACTCATCGCCAAGCAAGAAAAACAATACGCCAAGATCTAGCAGGACTCGGAACATTTTGGAACATTCATGGCAGCGCTCTCGGATCATCAGTCCAGCCTGGCCTTCCAGGGAGAAGACTTGGAAAACTAGCCAGGAACGTACCCAACCTTTTGTACACATGAGGCGACTATACATCGGACAGCTCAATACAAAAGCGAGCACTGACGGCTCCGCCGTGCCCTTGAACGATTCGCCAAAGAACGTCGGGCCAGAGTCACATGTTCACATCTGCGGCGTCGCTCTTAAGAACCAGGAGGGAGCAGCGCCGCTGGAACCCACAACGTCGCAACCCAGCCCTCCATGAATGGCGAGGTCTCATGGTGGTCCCCGTGGGACATCCCTCCGCTGGACCTCCCAGGAGCCCACGAAAATGGTGGCAGTTTCGCACATCGCAGCCCCCCAGCAAACGGCGGTGTCTCATGGTGATTTGCGTAAATCGCCCCTCTGCTGGACCTCCCAGAAGCCAACGAACGTGGCGACAGTTTCGCAGATCGCAGCCCCCCAAGGACGGCGAAGTCTCATGGTGGTCTCCGTGGGACCCCCTCCGCTGGACCTCTGAGAAGCCCACGAAAATGGTGACAATTTTGCAGATCGCAGCCCCCCAGATAATGGATGCTGATCTGCGTAAATCGCCCCTCCGCTGGACATCCCAGGAGCCAACGTAAGTGGCGACAATTTCGCAGATCGCAGACCCCAAGGGAACGGCGAGGTCTCACGGTGATCTGCGTAAGACGCACCTCCGCTGGACCTCCCAGGAGCCGACGAACGTGGCGACATTTCCGCAGATCGCTGCCCCCCCAAAGACGGCGAGGTCTCATTCCCGTTAGACACCCCTCAGCTGGACTCCGAGGAGCCCATGAAAGTGGGGACAATTTTGCAAATCGCAGCCCCCCAGGGTCGGCGAGGTCTCATGGTGGTCCCCGTGGGACCCCCCCCCGCTGAACTCCGTGGAGCCAACGAACGTGGCGACGCTTTTGCAGATCGCAGCCCCCCAGGGACGGCGCGGTCTCATGGTGGTTCCCATGGGACACCACCCCGCTGGACCTCCCAGAAGCCGGCGAAAGTGGCGACAATTTCGCAGATCGCAGCCCCCCAGGGACGGCGACGTCTCATGGTTGCCCCCATGAGAAACCCCTCCGCTGGGCCTCCCAGGAGTCCACGAAAGTGGCGCCAATGTCGCAGATCGCAGCCCTCAAAAGAACGGCGAGGTCTCACGGTGGTCCCCGTGGCACACACCTCCGCTGGACCTCCGAGGAGCCAACGCCCGTGGCAACAGTCCCGCAGATCGCAGCCTTCCAGGGACGGCGAGGTCTCATGGTGGTCCCCGTGGGACACCTCTCCGCTGGACCTCCCAGGAGCCCACGAAAGTGGCGACATGTTCGCAGATCGCAGCCCCCCAGGGACGGCGACGTCTCATGGTGTTACCCTTTTTAGCCCCCCGCTGAACTCCGAGGCGCCAACGAACGTGGCTACGCCTTCACAGATCGCGGCCCCCCAAGGACGGCGAGGTCTCATGGTGGTCCCCGTGGGACACCCCTTCGCTGGACTGGACCTCCCAGAAGAAAACGAACGTGGCGACAATTTCGCAGATCGCCCCCCCCAAGGGCGGCGAGGTCTCCCACTTTGGTTCTGCCTGCTTATTATTCTTCCGTTGTTGCTTCGCCTGCTTGTGATCCAGGCGAAGTACATCAAAATGCTTCTCAACTGGGTGAATTCAAACCGAATGAATCCAAACCGGGCAAATTCATACTGGATGAATTCAAACTTGGCGAATTACAACCGGACGAACTTAAACTGGGCGGGTTACGACCAAATCATTTCAAACCTGGCACATTAGAACAACATGAATTCAAACTGGGCGAAAACAATCCGTACACGCTTGAAACAAGTGAGTCCACACCGGATTAATTTTAACCAGGCGCATGAAAACGGGATGCGTATACACCGGGCGAACTAACACCGCACGTAATCCAGAGAATTAGTTTGATAGGACGGACGAACAAACAGACGAATTAGAACAAGACAATTCTAAACCGCGCGATTTGAAACATGATATTTAAGCGGACGAAATAAAACGGGATGGATTTACACTCGGGCGAACGTAGACTGGATAAATGTACACCTGGCCGATTTCGCACCAAATGCAATTAAACGGATGAAACTGAACTAAAAAGGTTAATCTAGGCAGAATCCGACTCAAGCGGCCCTCCCTCCTCCCTCCTTCCTCCTCCCTCCTCCCTCCTCCCTCCGCCCTCCTCCCTCCTCCTCCTCCTCCTCGTCCTCCTCCTCCTCCTCCTCCTCCTCCTCTTCCTCCTCCTCCTCCTCGTCCTCCTCGTCCTCCTCGTCCTCCTCCTCCTCCTCCTCTTCCTCCTCCTCCTCCTCCTTCTCCTCCCTCCTCAGCCCGCCCCATGTCCCGAGCTTGTGGCGGGATCAGCAACTCGTGGTCGTCTTTGTCGTCGTGGTCGTCGCCGAGGTTGTCGTCGCCGTCCTTCTGGGTCGGCGGCTCCGGCCTTGAGGCAATCAACATGTTGCACGTACGGAGAGGAGCTGGGATTTAAAATGTGGCCCTCGACTCAATGCCGCGCATTTTCATTCGCTGAAACACTTCCAACAGGTCGGATGACCCAGCCTCGAATGCGGGCATACGACGCTGGCGAAGAGGAGGAGAAAGAGGATGAGGAGGAGGAGCAAGAGGACGCGGATGATAACGAAGAGGCTGCAGGCCGATAAAAGGACGCCAAGCGCCGACCTCCGACCTCCCGATGGTTTCGAGGCACGGGCAGCCCGACCTCTCGACCACTTCGCCGGGACCCGCAGCGGAGGCCTGCGGGCCCATAGGGGGAGCGCCCGAGCTACAGACCCCCGCCTGGGGCAGGGGCAGCAGCAGGAGGAGGGGGAGGAGGAGGAGGAGGAGGAGGAGGAGGAGGAGGAGGAGGAGGAGGAGGAGGAGGAGGAGGAGGAGGAGGAGGGGGAGGAGGAGGAGGGGCAGCAGCCCTGCAGCGAAGAGCCAGAGAAAGCCGTGTGCCACAGAAACCTCCTGCTCGCCCCTGCCCCGCGGGCCCCCGGGCGGCGGTCCTCGTGCCGCTGGGCCTCCGACGCGGCAGCGGCCGCCAGCTCCTCCAGGTCCTGGGCGCAGGCGGCGAGAGCTGCCAACTCTGGGGCCCTCGCCGTTCTCTTCCTCGTGCCCTCCCCTTCCGCCTCCTCCTCCTCCTCCTCCTCCTCCTCCTCCTCCTCCTCCTCCTCCTCCTCTCCCTCTTCCTCCGTCTCCTCCTCCGTCTCCTCCTCCAACTCCTCCTTCTGCTCTTCCTCCTTTTCCATCTCCTCTTCTTCCTCCTCCTCCTCGTCCTCCCTCCTGATCCTCCTCGTGCTCCCTCCATCCTCCTTCTCACCATCTCCATATGTATGCTCCTCCTCTCTTCCTCCTCTCTCCTCTTCCTCCATGCTCTCTCCTCCTCCTCCTCCTCCTCCTCCTCCTCCTCCTCCTCCCCTCCTCCTCCTCCTCCCCCCCCTCCTCCTCCTCTTCCTCCTCCTCCTCCTCCTCCTCCTCCATACTCCCTCCTGCCCCCTCCCACCTCCTGCTACTGCTGCTGCTGCTTCTGCTGCTGCTGCTTCTGCTGCTGCTGCTGCTGCTTCTCCTCCTCCTCCTCCTCCTCCCCTCCCTCTCCCTCCCCCCCGCTTCTGCTGCTGCTGCTGCTGCTGCTGCTCCTCCTCCAACTCGTACTCCTCTCCCTCCTCTCTCCCCTCCCCATCCCTCCCGCTGCTGCCCCCGGGTGCGGGGGCCCCTGCGCAAGAGAGATGGCTGCCGCGCGTCCCAGGAGCAGACGTCCATGTCCTCGCCCGCCCGCTCGCCCACCCACTGCCCCTCCAGCACTGGATGCCGGCGGTAGGCCGTCGACGCCCATCTAGCAGAGACTCCACTGACGGGTACTGTTGCCAGCGACCTGGCAGACGCAACCCTCCCCACTACTGCTAGTGTTGCAGTGCCCGAAATAGGTCCTAAAGTGGTTATTTTTGGTGGCGTTCAAACATACATACCAGTTTAGCGAGTAGACTGTCAACCTTGGTCACCGCTGGGAGACACGTAGAGTTCCCTCTGGCCCGCCAGATCCTGCAGCTCGAGATCAGGGTGGCTCGAGATCAGAACACCCAACCAACTGGACACAACTCAGGCAACGACGTAGCAATCGTGTTTGAATCCTGCCCCTGCGGAATTGCCGGTGCGAGTCATTCGTTAGGCCATTGCTTTCAGTCACACTTGCCCCGCTTGCAGCCATCAACCCAGACTTCTGCACACCGACCATCTCGAACTCCTGGCGCGCTTCTAACTCCGCCCGAAACTCACGGCACGCGCCGCCTTCTTCCCTTCCACCTGGACGCAACCCACCACTGCTTGAGCGACGCCGTGCCGCAGAGGCTCGAGGGCGGTTTGACTCAGGCCTGGTTCTGCCGCGGCTGCTTGTCTCGGCGGTGAGCCAGGGGGGGAAATAAGAAGGCCTTCTCAGAAGGCTCCGAAGTCCCCGCGCCCTCTGAAACAAATAATAAAATGTCCCCGAAGACACAAGACGAGGCCTTCTGAGAAGCCCCGTGGCCTTCTGAGAGGGCCTTCTCCTTCGATCACTTCCCCCCCTGGGCGCGCCGAATGTCGGTCAAAATTCGTCCCTGGAGCACTCCCGTGTCCATCCGACGCGATTTATCACCCTGGCTCGAGTTTCGGGGGCCCTGGGCCCCGAAAACAGTCCCCAGAGGCCGCAAACGAGGAAGCACTGCCTCAAACCTCGAGCCTCGAAGTTCGACCCTCGAAGTTCCCCCCTCTTTCTCACTTCCCCCGGGGCCCGTGCCGCTTGTCGGCACCAAGCGTAGCCTTGCCCATCAGGATCTGCCCGTGGTCACTGCGCGCTTGGCCCAGGCCGCCCTCGAGCCGATGGGGGGCCAGTCTCGCGCGCTGCCGAGGGCGCCGCCTCCAGGTCTTTTTCGCCTCTGCCCTCGCCCAGCCAGCATCTCGTCGGCGGCGAGCGCGGGGGGGACTTGAGACGGAGAAGACCTCCTCGGAAGGCGGCGGGTCTGAGAAGTTCTCTACTCTACATGCTCGGGGAATGCTTTAACAAATTTCTCAGAAGGACGGGGGACTTCTGATCTCCCGGGGGGAGTGAAAAAGGCATTGTGGGCCCTGGAAACGGCAAGGCCGTTTCTTCACCGTTTCCGAAAAAATGTCCCTTGCAAATGGGAACGGCAAAAAAAACGGCGACCGGAAACGGCAAACAACGGCTCCAGGATTAGAACCGGAGCCGGAACCGGTCAAAAAACGGCGACGGAACCGGTAACAAAAACGGCGTCGGAACCGGCAACAAAAACGGCAGAACGGAACCGGTAAAAAAACGGCCCTGTCGTTTCCAGGGCCCACTACGTGAAAGGGGTAGGACAGCAGAGGGCACGGTAGAAGCAGCTCACGCAGCTGGCTTTCCTGGCGAACTCCTGGCGCTGGGAGGCGCCCGTGTGTCGAGGACCGGGCCCACCGGCGGGGCGGAAACCGGCTGCACGCAGCCGAGTTCGTAACCCGCCCGTTCCCAGATGATCCCCCCGATTCGTTCGGCCCGAATCTCAGGCTCTCACGCAAGGTACTCCAGATTTCGTAATACAGGGAGGGGGTCTGGACCCTCCAAGACAAGCCATTTCAGACCCCCCCCGTGGGAGAACCCTCCAAAACATCGTCCCCAGACCCCCCCAGGCCTTCCAAGATAGCTTGGAAAAGACCCTCCCCCGAAAAGAGACCCCCCTCCCTTTATTACGAAATCTGGAGTATGCTCCATCCAGCGCTCGACCACGGCGGAGCCGCTACTGAAACTCTCCTGGAGAACGGTCAACCCGTAGAATAAGGACGCGCGACAATGATGCAAGGGCCTGGGGAGGCAATGACGTTTTGCGAGCAGGACGCGGCCAGCGAAAGCGGCCAAGGATGGGCCGAAGGGGAAGGATGCAAGGGTAACCTTGGAAGGTCGCTCATCCTTCCTACGCGGGCTGGCTGTATTGAGGCTTCACCTGGAGAAACTCGGACCAAGACAAATCGAGGATCTCTGAAATCCAACGGTTCTGGCCGTTGCGAAGCTCTGAGACACCTAGGAACGCTCCGAGATGCCCAGGAGCGGCTCATCCTGATCCCGGCCCGATGGAGGCCCAAATCGATCTTGGATCACTCTCACGATTGGAGGCCTGGAAATCCCACCAGCCCTCTGGGCGTCGGTGGCTTAGAGCGTTTCCTCTTCCACCCCTCCTTCTTCCCCTTCGGGGAGGGGTTTACCCCTCCCCCTACCCCCTCCCCACTGACCTGGACAGAGGGGGGCCGCGGGTACTTAGAGCGTCCAAGACGGCCCGACACGGCTCCAAGGGGGCCTCAGGGAACTCAAGATGACCTCCAAGATGGCTCAAGATAGCGCAAGATGCCTCAATATGGTCCCCATGATATTCCAAGACGCTCCAATAACTCCCCAAGACGGTTCCAAGTGCCCACAAGAGCATCATTAGGATGCATCCAAGAGGCCAACATGCTTCAAAACCCGGGGGAAAAAAAACAATGTGTTTGGTGTTCTCCCTTTTTCGCTTGCGATGCACATCCGACGCGTCAAGATGGCTCCAAAATGGCTCAAGATAGCTCCAAGAGGGGCCCGAGAGAACCTCAGGATGGCTCCAAGAGCGGCCGCAAGCGCTCCAAGAGCGATCCAAGAGGGGTCCAGGAAACGATTTTTGGAGCTCCTGGGGGGTGGGGGCTGTAACTAGGGAGCCCCACTTCCTTGGCCGATGTCCTCCAAAATTGCCCCAAGAGCGCCCCATTTTTGGCCTCCTGAAGGGGGCAAAGATGGCCCCAAGAAGCGCCCAGGAGGCTCCCAAAGGCCCCAACATGGCCCCCAGAGGCCCCAAGAGGCCCCCAGGAGGCCCCAAAGAGGATCCCGAACGGCCCACAGAGGCCCCCCCGAGGCACCCAAGACGCCGAACAGCCCCTCAGAACGACCTTCTACTTTTTTTACGACGACATGGGAGCGGTTACGGATGAAACTGATTTCGCAGGTGGGTGTGTCCACGTGTGGCGGGTGCGACCACACCAGCAACGCCGAAGCCCTGACTGGTACCGCCGTACCCGCATTATAGTTAAATACATTCCTTGCTCGTCGCTGCAGTGCCGAACTGCCTCTTGCCTGCTATGCTAGGCCTGTCGCTGCAACGGTGCAGCACGCGTGGTGCGGGCTGGCATGCGCTGTGCGTTGGAATTCCCTGAGAGGCGGCCCAGGGAGGAAACCCAGCATCTGACCCGAGCCGGAGACTTACAGACAAGCTGTTCGGGTGGAATGTGGCAACTAAAGAAGGTCCTGCTATGGCGGGTGACGAAAGAGGGGGGGGGGGATTCCCCTCATCTCCTCCTCGGGGATAGCAGCAATGAGGGTGAGTGAATAGGAGTCTAGCTACGGCTCTGTGCGAGGGGGCATCGGAAAAGACCTCGTGGAGCACATCAGGAGAATAAAATTTCGGCCGCCTCCTCATCAGCGGCTAGATCGTGGGTGCGTGCCTCAGGATCAGCACTATCTGAAGGAAGGTCGCCTGACATCTGATGTGTGAGGTCGGTCTCGGGAACTACTGCAGGCGTCGCTGCAGGAAGTGTGCCGCCAGGCACGACTCGGATCATCCTGTCATTCGTCGGAAATGGTCCAGCCATGTCGATATCTCCTCCTCCAGCCAGCCCGCTGGGGCTGGGCCCAGGTGGTGCTTCGCGATCCCTTCTGATCGTAGGCCAGCGAGCAGGAGGCCTCGTCCCTGCCAGTCCTTGGCGCCGAGGATCAGCTTGGCGATGCTCGGGTCGTGCGTCTTGTCGATGCGCAGGAAGGCGACTTCGGTCTGGAGGGTCTCTACGTCGATCAGTGGCTCGAGCTGAGGGTCCTCTGGCTGGCATTTCTCGAGGTACTCTTCGATCTCTTTGCGGACTCGGCCTCCCGCTTCGCATGTCAGTAGCCCTTCCAACATGGCGAGCGCGAGTGCGGGGGTCGGTGGGCCCAACATCTTGAGCGCCTCGGTGTCCTTGTTGGCGCGGTAATGTTGACCCGCGTCTTGAAGCCCTCGAGTTCCGTCGAGATATGGGAGACCGTCGGGTGGTTGATTGGTAGCGTCCATGTGTCGGCCACCGTGCACATGATCATCCGTATTTTTTGAGTGTTCTGAAGTGTGAGTGCCATCAGCGAGGTGAGCAGCATCTGCATGTTCTTGTCTTTGTTCGTCCTCTGCTTGTCGGTGTGCTGTCCTCGGTGGGCTCGTCGTCCGCCTCTGCGTCGAGCACGGCGAGGCTCGTTCTGTGGCTCCTCCACGTCCATGTCGTCGTCCTCCTGGTCCGCTGCCGGCGTCGGTTGGCCCTTGCTGCCCTTGGCCCCCTCGACCTTGCGTCGGCGCTGGGGTGGTTCGTCGGTCTTGGAGTCGTTGCCAGAGGTGCCAGACTTGGTCGAGGACGGTAGCGGGCCTCTCCACGGGGCACGTGCTCCGCGTCGCGGTGCTTTGGGTTGAGCTGGTATGTTCGGCGCCGCTGCTGGTGGCGTGCTGCTGTCCGCTGCTGAGGCCATCAGGTGGAGCTGGCGTCGGGCTGCGGGCTGGTTCTGCTGGTCGTAGTGGTCGCGGTAGTGTCGGGGTGGACGTCGAGGCTGTGGTAGTCGCACTGCTAGTGTCGTGCGTAGGTGGTGGTCGTCGGAGTTGCGGCCGTCGAGCTCGTGAAGTAGTCGGTGCTGTGGCTGAAGCTCGAGTATGTATGCCCAGCTGAAGCGTCGCTGCCTGTCGAATCTCTTGACGAAGCAGAGCGGTGTCGGATGGTCGCCACAGTGGGGCGGCGAGGAATCGCTTAGGCACTGTCGGTCCGCGCGGGTGTGCCTCCCTCGCCGAGCGAGGCAATGTCTTGAGCCAAGGGCCACGCGGTGACGGAGGGATGTGCGTGCGGAGGTGGGATCGGAGCTCGTCGATGTCGTGATATTCTCGCTGACAATCGATGTTGGGGCTGATGTGTTCGAGCGGACATCGTGTGGCAGTAGTGGGCTGCCACGTGTGCGTGTGGAGGGTGCGATCGATGAAGCGTCGCCCTTCGATCCAGGACCGTCGGTGATGGGTCTGGCAATACTTGATAGAACCATACACGTTATCACAAACCAGACATTTGTTGTCGAGAGTGATCGTAGATAGGATGGTGGGGGCTCCGTGTCCTGGAAGTGCTGCTGGTGCTTGATGTGCAACGAGTGCAGAGAACGTGCGGAAGGCCTTGATGCAGCCCTCGATGTTGCAGACGAACGGGCTCGGATCCTCGGGGTCGCTGCCGGGGTCTCCCAGAGGGGTCTCGGGTGGCAAGAAGTGGTGACCTGGTGGGGCCCAAGACTGCGAGACGCACGCCTGCCGAAGGTAGCTGACATCGATCTGCTGGAATGCCTCCTGGATCTCGGGGTCCCTGAAAAACTTCCGAATGTCGTCGTTAATGTCCCAGAGGCCACGGAGGTCGTCGCTGATGGGGGCTGCAAAGGCACTGAGGAGGTCCTCGCGGAGCTGGCGGGCCCAGGGATGTACTTTGGGATCCGTGTTAGGAGCGCCTGATTCCGTAAGGGTGTTGGCGGAGGTAGGAAGGCCTTGCGAAGCATATCGATCTTCAATCTGGCATCGTCCAAAGAACCCTGAGAGAAATTGCTCGTGATGTTCGACCTCTCTGCTGATGCTCTGCCACCATTTCAAACGACGAACGCATAGCTCAAGAGACGTGGGGGCGATTCCCCAGACTGTGAACAGCTCAAGGGTGGTAAAGGAGTGGTGCTGGCCGTCGCTATCAATACAATATGCGTCACCCATGAGCATGCACCGAAGTTTTTTTTGCGAGGCTCGCATCGATCCGAGCCGTCTCAGCGCGGGCGAGGACAAGCGCTTCCAGGCCTGTCCATGCACGGCCCGCGACATTCGCGATGAAGACGATGCGTTTGCAGCGTCTTGGTGTGGCTGAGGTCAAAACATGAGTGGGCCGTGCCCAGCCCATGTTACAGGCTCGAACCCGTTCCTCCACCTCGCGAGTGTTGTAGCCGTCGACATGGATGTAGGAGCCGAGGTGGATGAGGTTGGTCATGCAGGTGCCGCTGAGTTGTCGTTCGGCCTGCTTGGTGGCGTTGCTGGTGGCAAGTCGTACCAATGTCTCCTGCTTGTGCGCGTTCTGTGCATATCCGCCGTGTCGGAGCTTGGCGTTCATGATAGAGACGTCGATGCAATCTATCGCTAGGGCCTGTCGGAGTGTGCCGTCGGGAACTATAATCACACGTGCGATGTCGTCGATGAAGGCGCCCATGTCGATGCGATGGGCGTTGCCTGTGATGGGGTCGGTGCAGGTGAGGCCGTCCCCAATGACGGCGGTGAGCTCTGCGTCCCAGTCGATGATGAGTGGATAGAAGGATTCCATGAAGAGCTCGGGCTCGTTGCTGTCGCCCATGCGGCCTCCACTGCATGGGTGGGGCCCGATGGTGTCGTCGTTGGCGTCGATGCGCATGGTGGCGCGGAGTCGATGTTGCGTGAGCATGTCCTCGAAGTGGGGGTCGTCAGTGCGTACCCGGTGAGCTGCCAGTAGTCGGTCAGTGTCGCCTGTGCCGAAAGCGTTGCGCATGTCGTAGCTCTTCGCAAGGTGTGGGATGTGCGCACTGCGTAGCTTGAAGGTCGTGATGCGCGTGAGCGTCATGAGGCCTTCTCGTCGTCGAGCACGGATGCCACCATAGGCCCATGGTGGCGGGGTGTAAGTGCTGCCAAAATCAACCAATCCGCTGCGGAGATAGAGCCGCCAGAAAGGACAGGGGACGTGCAGCATTCGTAGGCGGTTGTTGAGGTCGTGGACTGGATCTCCGCATGGATGCTTGCCTTCCTTGCCAATAGCTACGGTCTGGCTGGTGTAGGATTGGACTGGTAGGGTTTCTGAATCGCGGACGTGTTGAAGCAAGTGAGTGAGCATGGTGCGTGTGGCGTGGGCGTGGTCGTCGTCGAGAGTGAGCTGGCGTTGGTCAGGGCGTCGTGCTGGAGTGGTGGAGTCGTCGTGTGTCGTGTCGTGTCCGGGTCCATGTCGGAGCTGGTCATGGTTGGGATAATCGGTGGGGGCACGTCCAAGTCCACTGCGTGGGGGTCCTGGTTTGCTGAGGTAAGTCGGGAATAGCATCATAGTGGTGAGTTCGGTGGGCCATGACCAGACAGGAGAGTATTTGCGATGCTTGTTCGTCCAGAGTCGTGTGGCCATGGCGTCGAGGTCCTGTGCGGCAGCGAGGAGGGCGTCCAGCGTGGGGTCCACGCGGTACTCGCCGAGGATGTGAATGTCGTTCTCGGGGCGCTGGTGGAGCTCCTGGGCGGCGGCGTCTCCCGAGACATAAATGCTGAGGTGCGTGGGTGTCGCCGCGAGGCCGCCGTCGGTGGCGGGCTTGCCGAGGGCGGCGCGGTAGTGGTCGGCTGCGGGTCGTGCGCTCGGGAACGCCAAGTAGTTGCGTTTCTTGGGGCCAGCCTCAGTGCCTGCACGGAGTCTGCTGAATTCGGCGACACGTGCGAGGTCGCGGTGGTGGTAAGCGTCAGTGATTTGTTCGTCAAGAAAGTGATGCCACCATGCCCGTTTCCATTGTGCGTGTTCACGGAGTCGGCGAGAAATGAGCTTGAGGTGGGCGTCGTCGACCGCGATGCCTTTGTCACGTAGTTGCGCGCGTTGGCGAAGGAGGTCTTGTCGTGTACGTTGAGCGTCTTTGAGCCAGGCTAGATGACCTCCGTGGCGGGAGTTGTGCGGGATCGCGGCTTGCTGGGCCAGGTATGCGACGTAAGCGGCGTGTCGGTCGGGGAGCTGGTCGTGTTGGAGCACTCGGAGGGCATGGGCGTGTGGAGTGAGCTGCTGGTGTAGGTCGTGTAGGAAGTCGGCGCGTCGGTATCCCGTCTGCAGTCCTGCTGCTAGTAGGGCCCAGTCCCAGCGTGGAGCATGGTCTGTGGAAGATGACGTCGGGCAGGTAAGTTGGACGTGGATGAACATTGGACTGTGGTCGATCATGTGGGGGGGACACGCAGGCGTCGGTGGGAACGCCAGCATAGTTTGAGCTCCGTGATGATGGGGAACGCGTCAATCGGGCCGATCCAGTAGTCAAATCTGCTGCGAGCGCCGCCGTTACCGTAGAATGTCGGCCCAGTGTTCCAGAAGGTGTTGTGCGCGCAGAGCTGGTTGAGGATGATACTTTCGTGTATGGATGTGCCCACGGTCGTCTCTGGGGCGGGCTGCTGTGGTCCGATGCTGTCGTCGGTGCATGCGGCTCGATGGCGTCGTCCCATGCCTTGTTTGAGGTCGCCGAAGAAAAGTGGTGTCATGCGTGTCGGGGTCGAAGTAATCTCAAGGGTGATCCACTGCCAAAATCGTGTACATGTACGTTCCGTGAACTTTGCATGTGAACTATGCGGGACTGGTGGTCGATCGCCAACGATCAACCTGACGCGAAAATGACCTCGTACTATACCAATAGAGCCTGCACGGCCCTGTAGGTCGGATGGCGGGGATGCTATTCTGACCACGTGCTTGGGGGAGAAACGTCGCTTAGAGACCGCAGTGGAGCATCCACAGGCGGAGGTGACATGTGGAGAGCGGCCCCAGCCCCAGTGGATCCAGAAATGATGTCGGGACTCTTCACGGTGATGTGATAGCTGCGCAATCTGTCGAATATGTGTGCCAAGACATAGGATGCCGTACTGTTTGCGGAACTCGTAACTAATGGAGTCGGTTCTTCCAAGAAGGCTGATGAAAGAGTACTGGTTCCAGCCTACGAACTTCGCGTTTTCGCTGTGTCGTGATATACTGGTGCATCGTCGCCATGTCGTTGTTATTCAGGGTCTTCCAGCAGCGCCGCGCCGCGCCGCGGCGCACACGGAGCGTCTGGGCCAGCCTCAGCAGGCTGGAGGCGCCATGGCGGGAGACTGCGCGAGAAGTGTTGGAGGGAAAGGGGAGGCGTGTGAGGCCGATTCACACGGGGG